AATTTGGGACAACACAGCCACCAAATACGCACTTAAACACACACCTTCACCACTAACCCCGTATCTGAGGAATAAAGCGTTTGAACCCGGGCTGAGCGCACGCGACTTTAGGGGCATAGAGAGTACGGGGATGCAGAGATATGGCCATATGTACGAAGGGGACTCCTTCAGAACGTTTGATAGCCTGAAAACCTTAGCGCCCCTGACCACAAAAGATGTATTTCGCCATATCCAACTACGAGACTTCGCCAAATCCCCAGAAGTCAGAAAAGCTGCCCACACTCCAATGACGTTCTATGAACAACTATGTAATGCCGAAACCGTACAAAAAGGCTTAATAACCACTATATACGCACAACTCAGCGCCCCAAATAAAGACGCTAAAGTCCCACGTTACATTGGCCAATGGGAGGCGGACCTGGGGGGGACACTGGAAGGAGAGGACTGGGTGGACATTTGGGAGGCGACAGCTAAAACCTCAATCTGTGTACTGCACCAAGAACAGTCATATAAAATGCTCATGAGATGGTACACAACACCTGTGCAGCTACACAGAATGGGGAAAACCACGACAGACACTTGTTGGAAGGGCTGTGTTGGTAAAGGCACCTTTGTGCACATGTGGTGGGAATGCCCAGAACTAAACAAATACTGGAAGCGCATACAGACACTACTAACTGACGTGCTAAAGAACAGTATAGATCTAGACCCATGGACGGTTCTACTGTCCAAACCCATAGACGGCCTTCCTAGAAACGAACAACAGCTCTACAATAAAATCACTCTAGCGGCCAGAAGTGCTCTAGCCCAGGCGTGGCTTAAGCCCACGCTACCTACAGATGACGACGTGATAGCTAAAGTTAAAGACACACTCTTGATGGACAAACTCACAGCCCAAATTAGGAATACGGAGAAAACATTCCACAAAATATGGCAACCTTGGGAAGACTATCTAGACGACTAAAACCTACATAAGCAGGATAAGGACAGAGGCCTCGGAAGGGCCTAGATCCGCCGCATGCCCCAGCGAACAGCAATCCCCTTCCCTCCCCCCCCCCTCCACCTTTAGACAGGGAGATCGGGGGAAGACAGTAAAAGCCGCATACAAGCCACTACCAGTCACACACCAGGAAGAGCTCACACAAATCCCAAACCAACCAAGATGTATACTACATCTACAAACTAGTATTACGGTTACAAAGCACAGTCACACACCAGGAAGAGCTCACACAAATCCCAAACCAACCAAGATGTATACTACATCTACAAACTAGTATTACGGTTACAAAGCACAGCACAGTGACCACTGACAAGGCACGACCCGTCACTAGGGCCCCTCCATGAAGCCACCCACGGCCACAAGAAACGACGACAGGGCACAGTCATCCGCGCCCAAATTAGACCCCGACTTGGGATGGCTCATGGGACGGAGCGACATTGAATGTAGCCGATGGACGCAACTCCAAACCGATAGCAAACCCACCATGACACGACGCTGACAGTCTCATGACATCGTCCAGACCACTTAACCAACACCACAAAAACCAGTACTGCCACACGCAGAACAGCGAAAAGAGACTCAATGTACCCAATGTGAGTCGGTTTGAAAGCGCTGTGAAACCTGTATTAAATACTCAGAGATTATTGTATTCAGCCTTATTGTGTTGCACTGTTGTGCTCCTCGTTTTTTTGTTTATTGTGTTGTTTGTACTTTTTGTATTTTTTGTATTTTCTATACGAGCAAACACTGCCCCCCAATATAAAAAACCGACACAGAGCGGCAAAAACCAATGTCCCCTAACCGATTAAACACTTAACCACTGTTGAAAGCTAAGTAACACTGTCTTGTAATCGGCCCCTGCGTGAGCCGCCGTATTTTGCTATGCCGCATTCCGTGTCGAATCAAAAATAAAGAATTTAAAAAAAAAAAAATACATTTAAATAACCCTCCTGTTATTTCGATTGGCTGTAATCGGCTCTTGACCCCAAAACGTGCGTGCGTGTGATGTCACGCACATGCCGTCATCATCCTCAACGTGGGTAGTCATGGGGCTATAAAGTGGCATAGATCCGCAGTGGCCTGAGACATGCTGGGTTTATCAGGTTTATGGGCACATGGCTGTTGATGGGCACAACTATTCCTGTCAGGACGGTAAATACCACTGAATTGATCGAGTGGAAGAAGGCCCTCGGTATGGCTATTGGTATGGCTTGGAA